GCCCCTCCACCCCTCTGCCCCTTGCCTTCTGCAGGGAGAAACAGCAATTCTCCCAAATCCCAGTGTGCACTAAGTGTGGGAACAGACCTCAAAACCAGCCCCAATCCCTTAAAGCAAGAGGGTCTTGTGGAGTTGCTGGAGTCCTACTGGAGGGAGCAGAAACCAAGTGCCTTGATGGTGGTCCCACCCTCTGAGACAGCAGAACTGGGAGCTCTGGGGGGGGCAGAGGGAGTTGTTTAAGGTATGGGGAAGCTTCCAGTTACCTGCCCCAGCCCTGGGTGTGAGCTGAGCTGAGCCCAACAGAGGTACTGAACCAGCAGGGGATGGGGTAGGAGCTAAGCGGGACCCCCCATGGCATCACCAGCTCCCAGTGACCTACCTCCCCTCCAGAACACCCCACGGGGCTCCCAGACATCATCCCCAACCTCAGGCTGCAAGAAAAAGCCCCCACAGCTCACCAACAGCAAAACCCCCCACCCTTATATCCCTCAATTTGCTCTTTCTTCAGGTGATCCAGGAGCTATCTCCGGAGCAGAGGAGCTTACCCTTTCTGTCTGCCAAGAGGGACCCTCAGTTCTGGGGCACACGAGGCAGTGGAGGTCCCTGGGCAGGGAGGGATGCTGGTCCCACACTGAGGGTGCTCGAGCTGCCCTGAGCCTGAGCTCTCATTTTCTCTTACTCAAGGCACTTTCCGTTTTGGGGTGACACTCAACTGCCTCTGCTCACACGTTTCCTGTTTGCTGCGTTGCAAGAGAGGTGTGTGAAGGATCCATCCAGAGGGTGACTGTCCCCCCACACCTCCCAGATCCCAAAGCAGCTCTGCCCATGGCACTGGGAAGGACAAAGATCCCATCCTTTCCTTGTCTGCAGTGGTCCAGGGCTGGGAGGGGTTTGGGGCAGTGGAAAAGCAGCAGAGAAACAGCAAATGTTATTTTAAGACTCCAAATAACCCAAAGTACAGAACTATCTATAACCCACAGATTATAACATCCTGCCAAAGGCAGAACAACCTGCAAATCCTCCCTGTGGAGGCTCTTTGCCCCCAGGATTTGAAGATCTCCCCTGCTGTGCTGCTCTCTGATGCTTTTTCTCGAGGCTCCTGCTTGAATTATTAATTCAGCTTTAAAGCACCAAACCCACTCACTGCCCATGGGCTGCATCTGCTCTGCTTCACGAGGGGATGGGGGATTACAGGGGTCACAGGCATTTCTGCTCCACTTTAACTGCAAAATGGGGAGAGAACTCAGGCAAGGGGAAGCACTAATTATTATCTTTAGGTCATTACTAGAATGAGCATCCCCTGGCTCACAGCAGATTTGAGCACAGGCTCCCAGGGCAGGAGCTATGGGGTCAAAGCTGACTGTCTCTGACTATCTCAGGAGGTTAAATCCCTCACTGGGAACCAGCCACATCCAACCCTCCCAGCCACATCCTGCTCATTTGCTGTTTAACCTAACAAAGCCACAGCCAGCTCAGGTCCATCTGCTCCATCAGGGCATTTAAGGGCCAGCTGAGGTTCTCCTCCACACTGAGCACAGCTGGTGCTGCTAACCCCAGACTGAAGCATGCCCATGGCTAGGCTGGAGGGCTCAGCTAGCAAAACCCACCTCTGAGCAGTTTGTCCCCACATCTCACAACCTCTGGTGCTGTCTGCTGCTGTGCTGAGAAAGTTTTGCTTTCCCTAAGGATGCTTTTGAGGGAAAGGCTTTGAATATCCCTGGGAGAACTCATTGCTTCATGCCCTCTGGCCAGCAGGACTCTGATGTTGTGCTTCCAGCAGCAGAGTCATGCCAGCAGCCTGTGCTGGGGCCAGCACTGGCCATGGGAAGGCATAATCCAGGAGGGAGTGATCCAGCCCCAGGGAGATGCTGCTGTCAGTATCTGGGAGTGATGCAGCCCCAGAGAAATGCTGGTCAGGTGTCAGTGAAAGAGGGTCGAATGTAGTATGGAAGGGAAGCACCTCACCCCTCTCCCAGCCTCTGTGCTGAGGCCATTCTAGGGTGGGAGAGCAGCAAAACCCCACCTGGGCTGAAAGTGGGAGATTTCCATCCATTCCTCAGCTGCTGGGAGCTCATCACCATTTCGTGTCCCAGAGCTGGGGACACAGCCCTGGAGAGTCCCAGGGATTCAGAGCTCACTCTGGCACAGCAGAGCCAGACCCTGGCTGGCCCTGGAGTCCTGCAAACAGTGATGAGGAGACTTCACTGCTTTATTTCTCACTTCCTCCATCACCACTGCTCCTGGCAAACAGGAGGGAGAGGCTGGCAGGGGGGGCTGGAGGGACTGACGTAAGGGGAAAGATTACAGGGGCTAAATCTGTAAGGTTTGACTCAGCAGCAGCTCTAGGGCTGAGTGATTGTGTCCCACAAACATATCAATCAAGGGACATTGCTTTGCCTGAGTGTCACCTCACATTCTGGGGACAGGTAGATGCTTCAGTGATCCTTGGTTGGATGATTACACGAGGTCATTACCATCAAATCTTTATTTTCATCTAAATCCTCTGCAAATCAGGTCAATTAGTCACATTAACCAGAACTTGAGTCTGCAGCCAAGTCTTGCTCAGCCCTTGGAGGAAGCAGCCAGGGGTGGAGGTATCCCTGACCCCCAGGGGATCTCAGTCCCACCTGGGACTATGTTTCCATCAGCAGACCCTGCTCCCCATTATCCCCATTAAACCAGAGACACCAATTCCCTTCCACAAGGCAAGTGTTTATTCAGAGTTAATATTTAGAGACAAACAGGTATTTCCACTTCCCCCACATACACTTAATAGTATTATTTTTAATATAAATTAACATTTAGTGCTGGGAGCTTGGCAGCTTCACCCACAGCAAAGTGCATCATGGTGCAAGGCAGGAGGTTGACCCTGTCCCTTTTCTTCCTGGGACCATCTTGCACCAGTTTCCAGAGTCCAAATCCAGCAGAGCAGGAGATGAACCCCATGAAAGTGCTGAGACCTGACAGTGTTGAGTCCCTCAGGAGCAGAGACTCATCCTTCAGCGCTGAGACTGAGCAGCCTTTCCTATCCCTTGGTCCCAGAGGTGACCAAAGCAGAGCCAGGTGAGGTTCCTCTCCCCTCAGCCCCAAAGCAGAAAAAGTTCAGGAAAAACAAGCTACAATTCCTTCTTTCAGCATCATCCCTGCTGGTGAGCAGGACCTGTTCCTAGAGGACAGAGCAGGCAGCTCCTCAGCCTGGGGTCAGTGTTGAAGGAGGCAGGAACATGGGGCAAACAGCACCACTCAACAAGCCAACAGCAAGGTAAGACAGTGAGATTTGGGATCAGCAGAGTGCAGGGGCCACACCAAAGCCTCCCAGGCAGTGTTGGGCCCCCAATGGCTGTTCCAAGCTTAGCACTGAGGAGCTCCAGTGGGTTGATCACTTCCTGGAGCCTGACAGGTGACAGAGCCACCCTAAGGAAGGACTGTCCAGGGAACAGCTTCCTCTGCCAAGCAGCTGTGGGAAGGAGCAGCCTTTGTGTCACTCTGCTTCCACACATCAACAAGTGCTTGTCACCACTGGGTCCATCCTGCTGGGAAGAAGGACACCCCCATGTGCCAGCAGCTGGGGTGTCCTTAGGGCCAGGCTGTCCCAGGGCTCTACAACCCACATCAGTGACTTCTTCTTAAAGATATCTGGTGCCATCAGGTGGTTGGGACACAAGTGTCTCCCACAGTGAGGGGATGGACAGCAGGATGGCACTGGGACGATGCTTGGCCCCACCACCACAGGGCAAAGGACACTCTTCTCTGCAGGCAGGGCAGTGCCTTAGTCCCACCAGACCCATTTCAGTCCTTCTTCATCCCCTCCATGGGGCTGCAAACCTCATCAGGGGCTCCTCCTCTACATTGCACACAGCAAAGGTCCCTCAGGACTCCAGAGCTACTCATAAATAGCGAACTACAGACTCTATATTTGTTTCATACAAATAGCTTAGACAGCACAGGGTGGGGGGAAGCCACAGACACCCCCAGCACACGTCAGCAGCTGTCCCCAGTGCCAGAGGAGCCAACACATCACGGCTTGGGCTTGTCAGGGACGATTCTCCGCTTGGTGTTGTAGTAGTCTGGAGGGCAGAAGGAGAGGGTTGGGAAGTGCTTCCAGCTAGGAGCATTGGGGCAGGAAGAGGGAGGTGTTCCCAGGGAGGTACCCCAAAATTCAGCCCACGTGGGTTCTGTCCTAGAGCCCCTCACCCAAAGCTCCTGGAGAGAAGAGGTCTCCAACACCTCTTGTGTTTGGTCTGTGAACCTGCATTTACACTTCAAGTCCCAAGCTCAACCAACAAACTCAGGCCATGGGAACTGAAGGTGATGAACCACTCTGGGGTATGTTCATCTGTAAAACCCACAAGCCCAATGCAAGGTCCAACCCTCAGAAACCAAAGGGCACCCAGTTGGTGGCCTCTCCCCCTTGGCATGTGGGCTGTGCCACCAGGAGAGAGATGCACGGAGGGTGGTGCCCTCCCCATGCCCAGGAGCCAGGCAAAGCTCTGGCACCCAAGTCCTGTGTGTCTGTCCCTACCAGGAAAGCTGTGACAGCAATGCCACCAAGCACACAAGGAGTGACAAGCCCCCAGCACTCACCTTTCATGGTGGTCTGCCCACGTTTCTGGCTCCGCAGGGGATGAGCCCTGTAAACATCAGAGCTCTGCTGAGACTCCTTGGGGCAAATCCTGCCAACACGATCCTTGTGGATCAAGCTGCTCCTGCTGTCACTGCCAGTGACCAGGCTGTGGACCTCCTGGGGCTTCTCAGACAGGTAGATGCACTCCCAGGTGAATGGTCCTTCCAAGGGAGTCTCTGTCTCAAAGTCGAAGTTCCAGCGCTGCTTTGCTTCTTCCAGATTTTGCCTCAACATGACCTCCAAGTCATTCTGGAGCTGCTGGTGGTCCACAGGGCCAAAGAGGTTCCTGCACACCCTGGTGCTGCATGGTGTCTGCCCAGCCTTGCTGAGGGACAGGGGCATTGTGGCAGCTGGGAGGAAAACAGAGCTGGTTAATGGCTAGGAACGTCAGGAGCAAACCCAGGGACTGGAAGGTTTATTACCAGAGCAAAGCACACAGGAGCTAAGGTGGGGCAAACTGGGCTGGGCTCTACAGCAAGGCAACCCAGAGACCAATCCCTGCCAGCCTCACCTGGACTCTGACATTTGGGATTTTAGCAAGGTCTTAGGCAGAGGGTTAAGGTCAGGCTGAGGTCAGACACAGCCCAGTGGGATGCAGGAGGAGGGGGAAGCTGCAGGTGCTGCCATTCCCCATTCCTCCTCCAGCAGGTAAAGCCCTGCCTGGTCAGAGCATCAGGCACCTTGTTGGTGCTCCACAGCCCCACTGCATTCCCACCTCCACACAGGCAAGTTGGCACAGGGGCAAGTGAAGCAACAGGATGTTTTTCTGGCTAGTTTCTTCATTTCAAGAGCCCAGACCCAGTGGTAAGGAAACTTTTAAGCAACTGCAAGGACATGCCACAGACTTGACCACTTTGCTAACCACCCTCCTTATCTGCAAGGGGCTGTTGTGCAACCAGAGACAAGACCTTGTTTTTGTTCAAATCGGTGCCAAAAAAGCCTTGACCTTCATAGTAAGAGGCAAAGCTTTTCCTTCTGAGCAGTCTTCCATGACATGTGTGGGGGCTAACAGATCCCTCACACCACCCACAGCTAGGAGGAACCTCAATACAAAATCAGAATTGTTCAGGTTGGAAAAGACCTCCAAGATCATTGAGTCCAACTGATAAGAGAATGCAACACTCTGGGACTTGGCAGCTTGCAGAGCTCAGGCTTGTCCCTGCTGGGACAGCCAAGCTCATTAAATCTGATTAAAGAAAAAAGATTCACAGAACTAAAGCAGGGGCACCTGGGTGGGCAATTCTGCTCTCATTGCCCACCCAGTCTGGGATGCCCAAAGCCAGAACCACCCCCAAGCTTCCCCAAGGATGGGGTTCTCAGCCTCCTGCAGGGAGGATTTCTCCCCAAATTCAGCACCCACAGCTCCTCCAGATTGCTTGCCCCACTTTGCCTTGCCCAGATTCCATCCCTGGACCCACTCGAGCAATGCCTGGACGTGGCATTTGTGCTGTGGTTTAGCCCAGAAGGTGATGATCGGTCCAAGCTTGGACTCGATCTTGGAGGTCTTTCCCAACCTTAACGATCTATGATTCCATTAGCAGGCACAGCACCAGCACAGGGGGCCAGTGGCAGCTGGAAAGCCTCTGGGGGGCTGTGGAGGGCACACTGCACCTCTGGGGCCACCCCAACACTTCGCCCAGCCTGGACTCAGCATCCCCGAGTAAAAATAGAACTCTAACTTCCTATCTGCTGGCAGTGAGAGCACACACAGGGTGACCTCACTGCGAGGCAAGTCTCAGCATGTCCAGACAAGCCCTGGCAGGTAGAGGCATGGAAAATCTTCCCACACCCTGACCAGACACTCTCCAGCCCTCCGTGTCTGTGTCCAGCACTGATGTCCCCATCCTCAGCTCCACGGCTCGGCCCAGGTGCCACCTGAGAGCACCAAGGTAACACCTTTGCCCTGACTCACGGCTGCACATTGCCAAAACCACCAGTGAAGGAAGGACAAGGGCTGGGTCATCGTCCCCTCCCTTGGGGCTGGCACTGCTTCCAGCAACCTCTGCCCAGCAGGAGCTCCGAGGCTCCTCGGGGGGTCCCAAAATTTGGGCAAGGAAGCAGCAGGTGCAGAGCTGCGTTCAGACCTCCCCGGGCAGGGCTGGGCGACGAGGGGACACATATCTGGGGTCCACACGCATCCAGGCCCAGTCACACCAGTTTAGGAAGGCTCGGTGGAGCGGGAGGGACTGGGGGATGGAGCCGGTGACCCCGCGCGGAGAACAGCTCATGACACCGATGGGTCAG